GAGGGCGACCGCGGACCGCTCCCGAGAGCGGCGCGAGGCCGCGGCGTCGAGCGCGCGGATCGAAGGCGCTGCGTCGGACGCGCGGGGGGAGGGGGAGGGGCCTAAACCCGTGGTGCTCTCTGGGCGGATGGTGGCCCCTTTACGCGTGCCATACGAGGTGCCGCTGCCCCCGCGTGGCTCCTGGTTGTCTTGTTGCTCCGTCGCGAAGGCCCAAGGTGCATCGCGGGCTTGGGTGCTTCCCCCTGCCCCGAGCGGGGGCTGTGCGACGCACGCCGTCCGCCGAGGGGGGATCGCCATCATCGTCACCATCACCATTCTCTATATAATCGTCACCACCATCATCTACAACACCAGCATCAGCAGCATCATGCTGATCATCCCCACTTTCACCATCACCATCATTATCGCCGTTAACATCGTCATTCGTATCATCGGCATTATCGTCACCACCACCCACCAGAAGCAACATCGCCATCAACACCAACAACATCATCATCATGCCTTAACACGGCCAATATAATTATATCCCAGAGCGGTGCATTGCGTAGCTTGCCATCAAACGCCACGGACATCGATTGAAACAGTGTCCTAGGGAGGGTTGGGTCGGGAACAGCAGAACACTACGAAAGAGGCAGCGGGCGAGGCACGCTAAACTCCTGCTACGTCCAGCCTACTCGTCTCACTGAAATGCCACTCTGACATTATGACTGTGCACGCACTCTCATAATGCTTTCACGCGGCCAACAACATGATATCCCAGAACGACGCGTTGCGTAGCTTGCCACCAGACGCCACTGAAATCGATTGAAACAGCGTCCCGTGTCCCATCAAGAAGAGACAGTCCCATCTTCAAGAATGTGTTGGCTTCGGGCGGGTTGTGGAGGGAGAAGCCGTAGGTCTCGGCCTGGAATTCGTTAAAGACGAAACACCAGTCACGTGCCTTTGGGCCCACAGCGGCCTGAAAAGCATGTGCCACAGCAGAGCATAACTTGGAAGGTCATGTTTTGCCCGATCTGTCTTCCAGCCGGCTGATTCTTTTCCTTCGAGGTGTTCATGAGGCCTACCCGAACGCGAATATAGACCTGCCTTGCCAGTGCACTTGTGGGCTAAGAACGTGTCGTCAAGATCTGCGGACATCAGGATTGAGGTCCTCTTCCGGAAGTCGGTCCCGAGCTGGCACTGGTCGAAAACGATGATTTTCCAATTCTTCAGATTGGCCGGGGATCCTCAGAAACGGCGCGTCCCAGAGCATTGAAAAGGCGGGGTTTGCGATCATGCGCGGGATGTTATATCGAAGTGCCTGCTTCTTAACTAGCTCTCATGTAACCCTCGCAAGCCCGTTGCCTCCAAGACGCACCTTTCGATCCTTGTCGGGTAAATCCAGGAGGCCCCAAATCCTTTCAGGGGAACGGACAGCGCTGGGAAAAGGGGGAGGACCGCGGAACCCGTCTAGCTATGCTGAAGGAGCGGCACGGCGTAGCCATGAAGATTCCTTGTGCTTTGCCCGCGCTAATCCATCGCACTAGCGCAGGCAACGCGCCTGGCGAACAAATATTCGTGCCGAGGTCGAGCTCGACCTCTAGCGACGAGATGCCGCGCCTCGAAATGGCCTGGCCGATCCCCGCGATGCCAGGGAAGACATCGAGGAGAACGTCGCCTCGGTCCAGCCAGGCGGTCGGGGCGCGGTGACCACGTCGAGAAGGGTTTCGCCGAGCTGCTCGCAGTAGCGCCTGAGGTACATTCTCCTGGGCATCTGGCGGCAACTCCACCGACCGGGCGTTGGCCTTGCTGGACTTCTCGTGCCTGATGAGCGAGCTGACGCTGGCCCACCGCCCGCGCCTCTGCACCTCCAGCTGCGATCTCCCGCCGGTGATCGCGCCCCAGGATGGGCCCGCATGGCGCAGGCTGCATGGTGCGATGCCTGTCTTCATGGGGCGGCAGAGCACCGCGGCCTGCGCGACGAGGTTGCCGAGCTCCTCCTGCGAGAACGCCCTCAGCGGGTCCCCCGGCAGCTCGCCTCTGCGGTACTGCTCGAGGAAGTGGCCCAGGAACTGCAGGTTCTCGTGGCCGAGCGTCACGTCATTGTCGCACGCGCCCGTCTTGGTCGGGTCTCCGTTGTAGTCGGAGGGCCCGAGGATGAGCGACCACTTCTGGTACTCTGACCTGAAGCCAACTGCGGGCGGGGCGACATCTCGAACGCGGAGTCCACACAACTCCCCTGGCTGCAAGTAGGCGCTGAGCGGGGCCAGCGCCGCCGCCGCCACATCGTGCTTTTTCGTGCCCTCCAGGCACGCGTGGCCTGCCCAGTCCAGCAAAGCCCCCCCCAAGAGGCCCAGGGTGTCCAGCTTCAAATCCTGGCGGCGGGCGAATGCAAAGAATTCGTCGGCGCGCCTGCTGTAGTCCTCGATCTGAACGTGCCGCACCGCGATGTCTGCCAGGTACGAGATGCCCCTGCTGCTGGCTGGGCACTGGGCGGCAGCCTGCGTTGTCGAGGTTGTGACCCGCGATCTCCGCGAGTCGCCGCGACGCCCGCCTGGCGTCGCCGGCGGTCGGAGCAGGATCGGCAGTTCGGATGGACCTGGTCCTGCGTCCGCCAACTGCAGCGGCGTCCTGGCGCGTCGGTCCAGGCGCCCAAGTGGCCGCGCAACTGTCACTTCTAGTCTCCAGGTCACGTTGCGAAGCACCACACCTGCCGAAGGCCTCCGTCTCGTCGCAGGCGCCCTCGTCACCGCCCTAGTCACCAGGATGAGCAAGCCCAGGAGAAGGGCGCCACGGGTGACCAGGAGCTTCCAGCGTGGGCTCCCGCAGACGCGAAGGACGATCGGCAGGGTTGACATCTCGCCGGGATCCAGCGGCACTGTGCCCGCAGGCCAGTGGCCAGCTGAAGGGCAGCCATCTGTCTGAGCTTGCCCAGCAGAGCGCGGCCCCTGCACCTGCCTTTCTGGAGTGCGAGCACCAGGCACATGTTGTCCACCAACATGGGGACCTTACTGTGTCGCCAGCGGCCGCATCGCGCCACGCGCTTGAAGCCCAGCTTGACTCCCCGCGCTTCCTTAACGTGGTTGTCCCCATCATGCTCGCCACGCGGCCGCTTAGCCACCGCGGCCCACTTCGCCTCGGTAGCCGAGGCAGGGTGGATGTCCGGGCGCTCGTCACACGCGAGCCAGGTCGCCCCCCCGTCTGCACAGACGAGGTTGCCGTCCCTGTCGATCGGGGGCTCGCCCATCTCGTAGCCGGCCAAGGCGACCTCTCGGCGTTTGCGATGCGGGTCCTTCTTGAACCTCCAGCGCTCGTCCTGACAGCCTGCGAGTCTAACGGCATCGGGCGACCATTCAGCAGCGCGCGCGCTAAGTCCAGTCTGACTGGCGTCGGTGGCCACCACCTGGCCCAGCCAGCCCGCCCCGAGGTCCGCGTAGACCAACGGCAGGATGGGATCGGCAATGAACAGCTCCCGCTTGACGCTCAGCCAGATGTTCTTGGCCTCGTCCCCATGCGGACTCGACGAGGGCGAAGGCGGTCGCGATGCACTCTAAGCAGGGGCGCCGAAGTAAGAACGCGAAGCGCAGGTGCCCCAGCATGGCCCGCATCTCCCTCCCTGCACAGCGGCCTCGCCGCGCGAGGGCACGCAGTCCTGCATGGAGGCGCCGCGCGCGCTGCGACGAGAGGGTGGCCGCCTGCCTCTGGCCATCCAAGTGCACGCGCAAGATGTCCATGGAGGTGCCGACCTGGTCGATCTCGTGGACTTGAAAACCCGCCTTCCGTGCGCCATCAAGTGCGCGTCTACGTATATAGCACTCTAACTTCGTCTCTGTCGCAGCCGACGACCCCAAAGCTGTCAACGCATGCCACGTGCACGGCTCCACCCTCCAGTCCTGGCGGCGGCGTGCCATCTCGCAGGAGCCGAGCAGGACCCCATGCACCAGCTGCGCAGCCCACGCGGCCCAGGAGAAGCCCATCGGCAGCGTCTGCAGCCCTGATAGATGAGCTCCTGCGGGTCACCTTGATGCCGTCGATGCTGTCCACTCCCGCCGACGATGCCCGAACTGGCGGCAGCGCGAGGTGCTGCGAAAGCGCCTCGTCGATCCTGAGCTCGTGGAAGTAGTCCTTGATGTCGCAGCTGGCCGAAAATATGACCTTATCGTGGCTGGCCTCCAGATGGCTGAAAGAATCCCCAGTAGCGAGCTGGATGGCATCTGGACTGCCAGATCGAAGGGTGCTCTTCCGTGCGTCGCATATGAATCGGCAATCACCACTATCCTTGCAAACGAAGAACAGACCAACCCTCTCCATGCAAGTTCGAGTCCCGCGCGCCAGTCCCCTGTCATGCAGCTCCCGACAAAAAACCATCACATTTAGCAGGATGTGCACCCAGCGCTGGGTCAACGTGCAGGTTGGGCAGCCCCTCACCCTTGATGCGTAATGCGCGCTCCTCGTCACTGAGAAGAGTGGTGTCGCTAAGCCACTTGAGCTTGTGCGACGCAGCTGCGGGCAGGACGATGTAGATGCCCACCCCCGCCATGTCGCGGCTCGGCAAGGAGACGGGGGCCCAGCCAAACGGCGCAGTGTTCCCAGCGAGCTTGCTGTCGTCGCAGCCAGCGTCTGCGCGCAGAAGCGCCGCGAGGGCTCCTTGCGGGGCGGGCATCTCCTTCGGCGAGGGCGCAGCGGCAACGGCATCTCGAACCAGTGAAAAGGGCAGCCATCGTCTGTTCACCTCCTGGCCCGCCTGGCGATGCCCCGCCGACGCCTCCCAGCTCGTTGAGGGCCCATCTGATCTCATCGGAACGCTTGTCCATCCAAGCGCGCCTGCAAATTCGTTGTCGAACTCCACGACTGAGAGGGCTACGAGGGCTCTCCCGATCATGGTGTCGAGGCAGCGGCAGCAGGTCACGCTGGCGACCGTCGGCCATGCCCAGATCAAGAGCTCGCCGCCGCCCTCGAAGAAGCCAGCGACTGGTGGGCGGCCCGACTTGGGCCACGAAAGCGGAAAAGCCGCGGGGCGGCTAGCCCTTCCTCGCAAGGGTCGCCTCCTCGCGAGCCATGAGTCGTTCCTTCTGGATCTGCGCCTCGCCCTGAAGCTGTAGAGCAACGTGCGAGGTGAGCTGCGGCGCCACTGCTGCAGCCTTCTTGCCCAGGCCCTGGAAGTGCTCGCTTCCCTTGAAACGTGGCGACTTCGGGTTGGCGGTGTAGGCTTCATTCAGCAGCACAATCCTTCTTGCCAGCAGCTCGAAGGATGCCAGCGCCGACACGCCCAACTTGTCGTAGGTGATGGCCCACTCCAGGATCTCCACGGGGCTGCCATGCTCATACTTGACCCTGCCATTGCCTGGGACGCGAGCATCTCGCATCCCCTTCTCCGTACTGGTCCGAGGCACACAACCCTGGTCACGGATGAGCTCACAGAGCCACAGGGTGGTGCTCGAGCCCTGGATGGGGAAGTCCGCCCATGTCGATTCCTCCAACAGGCCAACGCCATCGCCGTAGGGTCGGAAGCGCTGGCCCATCTAAACGAACAGCACTGGCATCACTCGAGCGTCTTGAGCCAGCACCTCTGAACCAGCCGACGCGGCTGGGGCGATCGCGGGCGGGACCGCCATGGCCGCCGCCAGGCCTCCAGGTGGGGGCGCAGCCGCCACCGCCATCTCCAGCTCCCCCTTCCTTGCCTCGAGGAGGTTGGCCTTGCTGCCCACGGCGATGCACTCCGGGATGATGGTGGCCGATCCCAGCTTGACGAGGGCGGACTCCCACTGGATGATGGCACTTGCATCCACGCTCCAGTCCTGACCGCGGGAGCGCCTGGCTGACCATCGCTGGCGACCATGATCCACTGGGTGGCTGCCCCTGCAGCGACCAGCCCAGGCGCGACGACCCCGGCGACTCCAGGCCTAGGCCCAGCACCAGCTTCGGCGATGGCGCCTCCACCAGCCTGAGGCCCCGCGGCAGCCGGCGGCGGCCCCGCACCAGCGGGGACGACCAATTCACCCACGGCGGGAGTTACCGCAGCGGCCTGACCTCCAGGCAGCCCAATGCCAGCACCCCAGCCATGGTCAGCCACAGAGTCGCGAACAGCAGCCGCTTCGGCGTCCGCCGCGGGGCCGTCGATCCCCATGGCCACCCGCCGCGTAGGCGCGGTCGCGATCCCGTCGCCGAAGATGTAGCGCCACTCGTCGTTCGTGTGGAGCCGCCCGAACAGCGGGAATCGGTGCAGCAGCGCGTGGGCGGGGATCGCCGGCGGCACGGACTCTCGGACACAAGGTCGGCCACCCAACGCCCGGATATTCTCTGGGTAGATGTCGTCACTAGGCGTTGCGATGACCCAGATCGTTCCCTGGACCTGGCAGAACAGGAGGCGCTCGTGCCAGTACGCCTCCCCGCCCCCGTACCACACCAGGATCACACGACCTGGCGCGATCGGCCTCGAGTCACCCATGCACACGGCGCAACCCAGCACCCCAGATGGCCCCCTCGCAGCAGCTGGTCGTCAGCCCCAGGAGGCCCACGACCACCACCACGATGAGCCACCAGCGTCCGAGGCCCTGCGCCAACTCCGGGCAACTGGCCTCTGGGCAGCTCGGGCAGGCCGCGCCCCCAAGCGTGCAGGGCGGCCACTACAGGGCAGGGCACGCCAGGTGTGGGGAGCACGTGCGGCCTGGGCAAACGCGCTCGCCCTGCACAGCCCACACCAACGACGCGGTGCCCGCCGTCCGCAGAGCCTCCCGAGCAGCGTCCGCCAGCACGTCGTCGAGCCAGCAACGCAGACCCTCCGAACAACAAAAGGCTACGAGCGAGGCAGCGGGCGAGGCACTCTAAGCTCCTGCTACCTTCCCCCTACTCGTCTCGCTGAACGGCCCCTCTGGCATCATTACTGCGCACGCACTCTCAGCATCATCATCAACATCTTCATGATAATCACCATCGCTACCTCCAACATCACCATCATCATCATCATCATCATCATCATCATCATCATCATCATCATCATCATCATCATCATCATCATCATCATCATCATGATCATCATCATCATCATCATCATCATAATCGCCATCATCATCACCATCACCACTATCATCACTGTCATCACCATCATCAACACCGTCACCACCACGCCATCGTCATCGTCATCATCACCATCACCATCACCATATATATCCTCATCAACATCCTCGTTCTTATAATAATCACCACCATCATCATCAGAACCATCCTCACCATCAGCATCACCACCATCATCACCATCACCATCACCATCATCATCATCACCATCAGCACCACCATCACCGTCACTAACACCATCACCAACACCAACATTGTCAGCATCAGCAACATTACAACATTACCATCACCATCATCACCAACATCACCATTATCACCATCTTCGTCGTCATCACCACCATCCTCCTCATCATCACCACCACCTGCAGCATTTCCATCATCATCAGCAGCATCAGCAATTACATCAACACCACCATCATGCTCATCACGTCTCTCGTCTCTCCCCACCCTGGATGCGCGAAGTGCCAAACGTGACGTCCTCCCGTGCCCCTATGGGACAGTCGCCATGTCCGGGCTGGGCTGGCACGGTGGCGGGACTTCCCCCGCAGGCAACCAGATAACCAATAGAGGCTCTGGTCGCACTCGCTTCATGACGCGAAGGGCTTTCGGTCCAGGGCCCCTCCTCTTCACGCCGACCCCTCCCCGCTGGGCGCGCCACGATCCGCCCAGCTCACGCGCGCCCTGCTCGCGGTGGTGGCCGGCGGCGAGGTGCGCCGGGACTTGCGGCCTCCACTCGCGGCGAGCGCAGCGGGGGGCGGGGAGCGGGGAAGGCCGGCGGCGAGCGGGGGCCCCAGATCTCCCGCGCACGGAACTCAGGTCGGGCATGTCCCCCTGCAGGCGGATTTCGGACGAGCATCGACAAATGATCAAAACATGTGAAATCCGCCGACCCTGTCGGCGTGTGGAAGAGGCTGTTCCGTTTGACTCGTCGTCGTCGTCGTCGTCGTCGTCGTCGTCGTCGTCGTCGTCGTGGTCGTCGTCGTTGTCGTGGTCGTCGTCGTCGCCTTCGCCGCTCGCTCGTCGCCGCTCCCCCCACCACTTTCTCCGGGCCCTCCTCCGCGAGCGCGCCGGCCACAGCGAAATTCAGCAACGCTGCAGTTGAGTCGAAGGGAAGCCCCTTCCCTCTGATCCCTTCCCCGCCAAGGGGGGGGGTCCCAAGAGTAGGGAGCCCACAAAGGACGTACGCGCCCAGCTATGTACATGAACACGGCCCCTCGATTCGCGAGACCGGCCGCGTTATACGAACATTTGTGTAATGCGTGCTCTCGAAACCAGCGTGGATTCATGTACATGTACGTCCTTCTTTCGCTCCTGAAAGAATGGGGTCCCGGGGGTGGGTCCCGGGGGGGGTCCCGGGGCAGATACGGCTCCCCCTCGGGCGGTTCGGCGGCCAATAAAAGCCGCAGGACGCGGCAAAAGTGTTCCAAGATGTTCCCAAGACGATCTTCGAGGGCTCCATATCGCGGAAGTATCGGTATAAGTCGCCGCCAAAGTAACCTCCAGACGGCGCAAAAGGTTTCCACAACGCTCCAAGAAGCCTCCAAGAGGACTTCCAAGACGGCCTCCAGAGACGAAATCATTGATTTCACGTACGTTGTTAAAAGATTTCGGCGTTGTCACCTTGTCAATTTCCCGACGATCCAAGACTGGCCAAGAAGCCCCCAAGACCGCCACAAGATGGCCCAAGAGACCTCCAAGAGAGCTCCAACACGACCCAAGAGGGCCCCAAGACCGACCAAGAGGCCTCCAAGACAACCGAAGAGGCCCCCAAGACGGCTCCAAGGATGAAGGAGCCCAGACGGGGGACCAGAACGAACATCTCGAGCCCTCGGCCTCAGATGCTCACAGGAAGCCCCCAGAGGCCCCTAAGAAGCACACCAAGAAGCCCCAAGAAGCCTCCAAGAGACCCCAAAGTAGCCTCAAGAGGCCCCCACGAGCCTCCCAAGCGGCCCCCAAGAGCTTCCCAGAAAACACCCAAGCCCAGGAGCCCCCAAGACGACTTCAAAAGAATGTCCCGGCTCCGAGGGGTCCCGAGGTACGTCCAAGGAGCCCTCCAAGGAAGCCACCAATAGACATCCCAACAGTACCAGCAGTCTACATAAGAACACACCGTTTTAAGAATCGGCGGCATCAAATCCCACTGGCCCTCTGGGCAGGGCTCGTTTAGCGTATCAGCTCGTCCATCCCCCCCTCTTCCCTTTCAAGGAAAGGCTTATCACTGCTTCTTACTTATACCCACCCCACCCACACACACCTTTCCGAGTGGCCAGTGACCAGGGTCAATGACGCCCCCCCCCCTCCGAGCAACCACTGTCAATAAGCAATGCAAAGTGCCCTAGATTCGCCCGAGATGATCCAAATTGGCCTCATGCCCTAGGTAGAAAGATTCAATACACTCCAAGGCGGCCCCAAAAAATCCAACAAATCTTCCAGGAAAGCAGGACGAAGCCAATTATGGGTTCTTCGTCGGTTTTCGGCGGGTGTTCGGATGTGCTTGATTTCGCCGTTTCGACGGAGCCTCCAAGATGACCCCACGACGGGCACAGAAACCCCACCAACGCATTCAAAAGGGCTTCAACACGACCCCAGAAACCTCGAAGACGCCCAATCTGGCTTGGAAGCCAACACTGAAACAACTCAAGGGAGCACGAAGACGGTTCAGAGACACCCCGAAGGCTCGATTCCTATGTTGGTTCTGGGGGCGTCCGTCACTCCCGTTTCCCTCCCTCTCCTGACACTTGCCCAAAAGACAATTGGTCGTCCATCGTCGTCGTGAGGTCGTGAGCGTCGTAGTCGTCATCGTCGTCGTGGTCATTGTCGTCGTCGTCATCACGTCGTCCATGTCCCCACCATCAGCCTTTCCGGGGAACCACCCCGGACAAGAGCATGTGTGCAACCTCCCCCTTGTTCTCCTCAACCTCGTGAGCCTCCCCGTGCTCGCCCTCCTCCTCCTCCTCCGCCTCCTACTCCCGCTCCTCCTCGGGGCTCCTCCTCTTCATCCCCTTCCTCTTCCCCCTCACTACCATCATCCTCGCGATCCTACTCCTCCTCCAACTTCTCCTGCCGCTGGTTTTACACTCCCCCTCCCTCAACGACATCATCATCGTCATCATCACCGACACCATCCGCGTCGTCGTCATCATCGTTAACATCCTCGTCATTGCTTTCCTCCTCCGTCTCCTGCTGCTGATGCTCGCCATGCTCTACCCACCGCTGCCCCTCCTCCTTGTCAGCCATCCTTCTCCTGCAAATGCGTCCCTGCTCGCCTCGCTCTCCCCCTGCACTGCCCCCTCCTCGTCTTCCCCTCCGCGTCCCTCTCCCCCCATTCCTCGTCCTCCTCCTCCCCGCTCGCATCTCATCCTCCTCCTCCTCCCGCTCCTCCTCGCCCCTTCTGCTCCCTAGCGTCCTCCGCCACCTGCTCCTCAACATTCTCGTCGTCCTTGTCGTCGCGGTCTTCAGGGTCGGCGGCACCAGCCGTAAGGCCTTCGCAATACTCGAGAACTCGTCCCCACACGTTTTTTTTTTTGTGTGTGTGTGTGTGTGACTATTTTTGAATATTCCTCCTATACAGGGACAGGACCGACTTAACACTGAGCAGCGAAGGCACAAGTTGGTTCGCCCGCCTCAGGCCGCCAGGGGGCCTCGCCGGGCCCCGGGACCATGAACAAAACGATGCAGGATGAAACACCGGCCCCGGGGAAAAGGTGGGGACCTGGGCTGGACCCAAACGTTGCTTTTCGTTTCGTTGCTCGTTTTGCTCCACCTCTTTTCCTGTATCTCCCTCCCAAAACGAAAAAAACAAGACACAGCCGAAGTCCAGCAGAACAGCGCTTAGGCCCAGCCCTGGCGGGGACTTCTGGGTACCGCTCATTGGATGGTTGGGGTGGCAGTGGCTTCCGCCACGTGAGCGCTCCCCCCGCTCCGCGGCCGCCTCGCCTTCCTTTTCCTCCTCCTGCCGGCGGGGAATTCGCGCTTCCCCTCGCCCGGACATTTCGGGCGCGCGTGCGGACTGCCTCTGCCGCGCTGCGACGCAACAAGCTTCGGGTGGCAGCAGCGCGGCAGCCCGGGCAGGGCGGGCTGGGCACCCTGCCGAGCACGGGACTGGCCGAGCACGGCGTCGCGGGGGGTCTGGCCGCGCATGGCTTGCGCAAGCAGGCGCCGGGACAGGGGCAGGCCCGGCTCGGGGGCCAGGGGCCACGGCCCATCGGAGGTCGGGTCCTGTTCCGGCAGGCTTCGCAGGGACGCCCGGCGGCCCCTCTTGCCCGAGGCCTTGGCCCACTGTGTCCGGGCGGCGGGGCCAGGAGCGGGCGAGCTGAACGAGGGATCCATGAGCCAAGGACCCAACATCTCTTCAGGACACACTCCCGACGACCC